ACAACTTTGTTCCAGTTTGGACCAAATACCATCAATTCTGATTCTCTTTTCTTCTTTATTGATACTGAAATAAATATTTACACCAACATATTAATCTTTCTAGAGAAGAGAAAAGACAACCGGGAGAGATGTGACCCACATTCAGTTCACTAGTTGGCCAGACCATGGCGTGCCTGATGAGGCCCATCTCCTTCTCAAGTTGCGCCGCAGAGTTAATGCATTAAGCAACTTTTTCAGTGGCCCAATCGTGGTTCATTGCAGGTAAGATTTGAATGAACAACAAGCTTTGCTGGTGATTTATATTGAGTGAGTTTTGGTCTGCACGTATAAGATTACATGAAGGTAAAGGTTTCCCCTTGACATTAAGTCTAGATGAGTCTGACTCTGGGAGGTGGTGCTCATCTCCATTTCTAAGCCAAAGAGTCCATAGATGCCTCCATTTCTAAGCCAAAGAGTCCATAGATGCCCCCGAGGTCCATAGATGCCTCCTAGGTCATGGAGGACTGTTATCTTCCCGCCGAAGCGGTACCTATTGATCTACTCACATTTGCATGTTTTCAAACTGCTAGGTTGGCAGAAGCTAGGGCTGACAGCAGAAGCTCACACCGCTCCCCAGAATTGAACTTGCGACCTTTCGGTCAACAAGCTCAGCAGCTCAGCGCTTTAACCCACTGTGCATTCTATTTATTTTTTGTGAATATCGGCAATTTGATAGTTGTTATTTCCCCTTTATTACCATATTCTCAGTGCTGGTGTTGGGCGCACAGGAACCTACATTGGAATAGATGCAATGCTGGAGGGTCTGGAATCTGAAGGAAGAGTAGATGTTTATGGCTATGTTGTAAAGCTAAGGCGTCAGCGATGCCTCATGGTTCAAGTAGAGGTAGGTGTCCAAACAGAACAATTTTGAAATGCAGAATGATTTATAAGTGTTAGAGGAGTGGATGGATGCCCTTTACCAACTTATTAAAACTTTAGCTCCCATGATATACCACCATTACTCATGCTAACTCTAATTTAAGGGAATTAGATACCACATGGTGGTATGTTCTTCTTTATGTTCTATCAGAATGGGAGGTTGCATATGCAGATTAGTATAATATTTAGGTGCTCAGAAAATTGCTTGTTCTCAAGTTATCCCTTTTTCCCTTTGATGAAGCATATCTCTATGTCAGTGGTTCTCAACCTTCCTAATGCCGCGACCCCATAATACAGTTCCTCATGTTGTGGTGACCCCCAACGATGACATTATTTTTGTTGCTACGTCATAACTGTAATTTTGCTACTGTTATGAATCGTAATGTTAATATCCGATATGCAGAATGTATTTTCATTTCCAGGACCAAATTTGACACAAATACGCAATACGCCCAAATTTGAATATTGGGGGTAGGTGGGTGGGTGGGTTATTTTGTCACTTGGGAGTTGTAGTTGCTGGGATTTATAGTTCACCAAAATTCAAAGAGCATTCTGAACTCCGCAAACGATAGAGTTGAACCAAACTTGGCATACAGAGCTCCCATGACCAAGAAAAATACTGGAGGGTTTGGTGGCTATTGACCTTGTGTTTTGGAGTTGTAGTTCACCTACATCCAAAGAACAATGATGGATCTGGATCAAAATTGGCATGAATGCTCAATAATGTGAACAGTAGTGGAGTTTGGGGAAAAGAGACTTGACATTTGGGAGTTGTAACTCCTGGGATTTATAGTTCACCTCCAATCAAAGAGCATTCTGAACCCCACCAATGAGAAAATTGGGCCAAACTTCCCACACAGAACCCCCATGATCAACAAAAAATACTGTGTTTTCTGATGGTCTTTGGCGACCCCTCTGACACCCCCTCACGACCCCCCCCAGGGGTCCCGACCCCCAGGTTGAGAAACGCTGCTCTATATGAGCAGTTTGCATTATGTTATTAGAGATGTGGCTCTAAGGGACTTTCAATATTAACCTAAAATGTAAATGTGACAACAAGCATATGGTTGCAAATGCAGATAGATTCAGAACAGAGCTGTGACTGGTTGAATATCTATTTATTTATTACGGTATTTATAGCTCGCCTTTCTCAGCCACACGGTGACTCAAGGCAGGTTACAGATTGGCACAATTCAATGTCAGGCATTCATAAAAGTGCCATTAAAAACAATCAACAATGCAATATAAAACATAAATAAAACTGTTAAGCATACGAGGGGTATTTTTAAAGTAAGGTCTGTTTTGTTGTAGACACTAGTAATTCGCACACATACTGCAACAAGCACGTGCGTCGTGTACCGGCATGACTCGGGAACAACTGTGTTCAGTTTCCGCTCTGTAGCTAACCTGTACGGTTCTGTACTGTGCTTTGAAAATGTTTAAGACTATCAATTCACCCGTCGCATGTGAGGTTCGCTCAGTGATACGGTTTTTGTCAGCAAGGAACCTGCCTGCTGCAGAAATTCATTGACAGAGTTGTGAAGTGTACGGTGACACTACTATGAGTGAAAGCAAAGTGCGTAAGTGGGTACGGCAATTCAAAGATGGCCGTGACAACGTCCATGATGAGGACCACTCCGGTTGTCCTTCTTTGATTACAGATGATTTGATCGCACACTCAAATCTTTGGTTTTTGTGGTCCTCTGTTAGGAGTTTCGGGACCCAACGGGAGCACAGTTTCCTAAACTTTAGGTGTTCAGAAGCAATGTTGTAAAGCACTGATCTCGACATGTCAGGAAATTCGTTTGAGAGACCTGTTATTGTGAAGTGCCTGTTCTCATGAATCCTCGCTTCAACTGAAGCCACCAAATCATCTGTAATCAAAGAAGGGCGACCGGAGCGGTCCTCATCATGGACGTTGTCATGGCCATCTTTGAACTGTTGTACCCACTTTGCTTTCACTCATAACAGTATAACCGTACACTTCACAAATCTGTCGATGAATTTCTGCAGCAGGCAGGTTCCTTGCTGACAAAAACCGTATCACTGAGCGAACCTCACATGCGGAGGATGAGTTGACAGTCTTAAACATTTTTAAAGCACAGAACAGAACTGTACAAGTTAGCTGCAGAGCGGAAACTGAGCACAGTTGTTCCCGAGGCATTACGGTACATGACGCACGCGCTTGTTGCGGTATGCACGCGAACTTCTAGTGTCTACAACAAAACAGACCTTACTTTAAAAATACTCCTTGTATAATCATTGGTGTCATCTTGTTAAAAACATTATCCAATAACATCCTCTGGCCATTCCATGTTCATCATTCATAGTTCCGTGTTATCAATTCCGCTGCATCTATGGCCCCTTCCATACAGCTATAAAAAAATCCACATTGAACTGGATCATATGGCATTGTGTCCTCAAATAACCCAGTTCAAAGCAGATATTATAGATTATCTGTCCTTATATTCTGGGTTATACGGCTGTGCTGAAGGGCCCTATGTTGAGTGACCCAGGTTTGGAGGTTTACTTCTGTGGAATCTCTGAATGATTTTACTTCTGTTCCAAGTTCTGCTCATGTTTACTCAGAAATAAGCAGCACTTGAATTCAAGGGGATTTGCTGTCAAGTCGTTCTGAAAAACCAATCCTTCACAGATAAATTTAGGACATTTAATGTGCACAGCTATTCTCTGCTGGAAAGCAAGATTTCTATGAGCCGATTCTATGCTGAATAATGGTGTAATAATGGAATTTTACATATATTTCAATTTCCTTTATCACTATGCATTGTGGGAACCTTTGGGACCATTAGGCCCAGTACATCTTGATCCATCAAGCTTTGGTTGAATACGTCCAATATGGTGAAACAGAGGTCAGTATCTCAGAACTGCACAACTACCTTCATCAGCTGAAGAAAACAGATTCCTCAAGTGATCCATCTCTACTGGAAGCTGAATTCCAGGTAAATTGCTCCTCTCTAAACCCTGCACAAATGCTAAGTAGTGGTTGAAAATTGAGATCCTTGAGTTGTGTTATACTTGCTAAGCTATCCTGATACCTCCAGAAGTTGTAGAAGATACATGTTTCATCAGTGTTGTTGAAGAAAGGTTCTACTATCTTCTATCATTTTATTCATCTCCATAGTCAGTACTTACTTACTTAGGTGATCGCTTGTTGTCCGAGTAGGATTATCTTCCAAGATTGGTGTACTGATGGTGGGTACGTAGGTGACTGCAGAACCCTATTCTTTTTTAAAAGTAATTTTTATTGAATTTTTAGGGGAAAAGAAAGGAGAAAATAAAAATAAAAAAGAGGAGAAAAAAAGGGGGGAATAGGGAGTAGGGAAGTTTAACGGGTAGGAAAGAGGAAGAAGCTAACTATGGTTAAGGTGGTATGGAAGTTTCCCTACTAATGGAGATTGGAGTGAAAGGGCTGGGGAAAAGGAAAGGTAAAAAAAAATGAGGTAAAAAAGAGAAAAAGAAAAAAGAGAAAGAAAAAAATTCTTGAAAAGAAAAAAAAACAGGGGGAAATAAAAATTGTAAAAATAAAAATAAAATCTTCTTGTTGACTTCCAAATTCTTTTCCTGTCCGGGAGATTGATCTCTTGTATGTGAATTGTAATTAGTCTCTCCGTCTTCTCATAATTACACCATGCCCATCTATCTTTTTTTTTTTGAAAAAAAGTCTAATAAAGTACAGTCTGTAGGGCATTTGTGTTTGCCTTGATGTATTGTGTATTGTGTAAGTTTTGTATGCTTTGCATGTTTTGATATGGTCAAAATTGACTAATCAATAAAGAATTGTTGTTGTTGTTTGCCTTGATGACCTTTCAAAAAGTAAGTTAGTCTATCCATATCCTTTATATCCATTATTTTTAGTTTCCATTCTTCTTCTGTTGGGTTTTCTCTTGTCTTCCAATATCTAGCAAACACGATTCCGGCTGCAGTTATCAGAATTCTTGATCTGAATGTTCTCCCACAGTGAGGGCATTGGTTTCCAGATGGAAGGTGGTCCTGGTTGGGGTTGGCTTGATGTGCCTTCCTCTTGGCATGTTTCTCTCATTTGTGCCTCTTCAAATTCTAAAGTACTGCCGGTCACAGTTGACCTGTAGCTTGACTGCTCAAGGACCAGGGCTTCCTACTTCTCAGTGTCTATGCCAGAGTTTTTAAGCTTGGCTTTGAGCCCATCTTTAAATCTCTTTTCCTGCCAACCAATATTCTGTTTTCCATTCTTGAGTTCGGAGTAGAGCAACTGCTGTGGGAGACGGTGGTCAGGCATCCGGACAACATGGCTGGTCCAGTGGAGTTGACGGCAGAGGATGATCACTTCAATGCTGGTGGTCTTTGCTTCTTCCAGCATGCTGACATTTACATTTTTAGGTCCAATCATGCCCTTGGCTATCTAGTGTTATCAAAAAACATTCCGTTTTCCATTCTTGAGTTCGGAATAGAGCAACTGCTTTGGGAGACGGTGGTCGGGCATCCGGACAATGTGGTCGGTCCAGTGGAGTTGATGGCGGAGGATGATCACTTCAATGCTGGTGGTCTTTGCTTCTTCCGGCATGCTGACATTTACATTTTTAGGTCCAATCATGCCCTTGGCTATCTAGTGTTATCAAAAAAGATAATTATGAATGCCAGTACAATATAATCCCCATATCCACTGGGCTGGTATTTTTGAATTAATTTATCCATGTCTGACAAACTATATCCTTTCTATACACGTTTTCGACCCTTCAATATCATTGTATGGTATTCTTGAACCGGACACCTTTCATTTCAGTAGGGTTCACTATTATCCCTGGTGTTGTGTATCTGGGAATATATTGTCCACACATGGAATACTTACTGTATTTGGCCTTAAGGTGGGCATATGTCTTCTCTGCCAGGCACAATTCCTTTTGTTTTTAAGTTTCTAATACTATTGGAATTGGTGCATATGAGAAGTAGACTACTGTGTGATGTTAAGTAAAGAAAGCATAATGCTGAAAGATGATTTAGCATTGTTGCTTCAGTTGTGCATAGTAAACAGCTTTTATTTGGAATTTGTTCTTTTACTGCCTGGATCTTTTTCTGTAGAGGCTGCCTTCATACAAAAACTGGCAGAGCCAGAGAGCTGGCAAGAGAGATGAAAACAAAAGTAAAAACCGAAGTTCAACAGTTATTCCATGTGAGTAGTACATTGTTCTACATATCATTTCTAAGTGTTTATATGCAATGTCTATATTTGACAGGGGGAGGATCACTTTTTCCCATTTTAACATGCCATGTGTTAAGAGTTATGTTACATCTGGGACTGAATACATACCAATAATTTTGAATTATTTACAAATAGAAGACGCCTCTCACTCCAGCCCAACCACCCATACATGTATATCTAGATGTGGTCAAAATAGTCAAAAGAGCACACAATAAGAAACTATCAAAAGATTTTAGGGAGTGCTAAGTACAGAATTACAAGAAGTATTTAGAAGATACCACAATATTGCAGATCCTGTTAAGTGGCCAAGGAATGCTGGTTGTCTTTTAAAGTAAGCATGGCTCACTGATGCTACATCATTCTACAATAGTTTAACGCAGGTTCTATTATTAACAATCCATTTGTTGTTAAAATTTTGATAAATGGAAATAGATATTTTCGTTACTAGGAGGATAGCTGTAGCTTAGGCACATTTCTGTTATGACAGAATGATGGTTGGCCTTGACCTTTCATGAATCTATTGACCTGAAAGCCTTTCCCCTTCTGACCTCCTTGCTACAACAGATGACTACAACAGAGTGCTATTCAAACATGAAGAGGAGGGAAGCAGAGAAAGTGAACATGAAGGCAGTGAATCCTCTGATGATGAAAGTGACTGTGATGAGGAACCCAACAAATATATCAATGCTTCTTTCATAAGCGTAAGTGTGTTTGGATATGTATTGTCGAAGGCTTTCATGGCTGGAATCACTGGGTTGTTGTAGGTTTTTTTCGGGCTATATGGCCATGATCTAGAGGTATTCTCTCCTGACGTTTCGCCTGCATCTATGGCAAGCATCCTCAGAGGTAGTGAGGTCTGTTGGAACTAGGAAAAAGGGTTTATATATCTGTGGAATGACCAGGTTGAGACAAAGGACTCTTGTCTGTTGGAGCTGGGTGTGAATATTTCAACTGATCACCTTGATTAGCATCTGACATGGTGGTTGTGAGAGTGATCCAGCATTTCTGTGTTCTCAAATAAAATGCTGTGTCCAGGTTGGTTCATCACGTGCTCTGCTATGGCTGATTTCACACCATGTCAGACTACACAGAGAAGCCATTAAAATACACACACAAAAAAGGGTAAAGGTAGTCCCCTGACATTAAGTCCAGCCATGTCTGACTCTGGGGTGTGGTGCTCATCTCCATTTCTAAGCCGAAGAGCCAGCGTTGTCCGTAGACACCTCCAAGGTCCAAGCATGTGGACAAATTCAACAGAAAGGAGGAAACAATGAAAATGAACAAAATCTGGCTACCAGTATTAAAAAAACTCTAAAATTACAACAGCACAACAACAGAGAGGAAACAAACAAGGACATCTAATCACCTCTCAACAAAAGATTGCTCCAGGCACTGCCAGGCAATCATATGCTAATCAAGGTGGTCAGTTGAAACATTCACACCTAGCTCCAGCAGACAAGAGCCCTTTGTCTCACCCTGGTCATTCCACAGATATATAAACCCTTTTTCCTAGTTCCAACAGACCTCACTACCTCTGAGGATGCTTGCCATAGATGCAGGCGAAACGTCAGGAGAGAATGCCTTTAGATCATGGCCATTTAGCCCGAAAAAACCTACAACAACCCTGTGTTTGGATAAATAACCTCCTCCCAACATGTTAAAATTTTTAGCAGGGTGATTTAATCCAGCTTTGTTTGCAAAAAATTACCAATTATTCCTTTTCCAAATTAACATGATATGTAGGATTTATGGCTATTAAAATATCCAGTACTGAAATGAAAGCATAGTATAACTGCATGTAATTAGACAATATTGAATTAGATATAATTAGATAGTATTGAAGATAAATTGGATGTAGATTATAGTGGGAATTAATACAAAACCTAAAGACTGCACAACCAGTAAGAATGTGTCAACCTACTTTTTTATTGAATTTCAAATTCTTGGATTTTATCTCTCAAAAGCTGCACAAATCGACATAGATTTAGTTTCTGTGTTTTCCTCTATTTTCTTTCCCCAACCTCCATGATGTTATTCATTTGAACTTGGTCTTTAGTACACACAGGGAAATTCATGCGAGTTACTTACTTGCTTTACTTACTTAGGCAATCCCTCGTTGTCCAAATAGGATTGTCTTCCAAAATTGGTGTTCCGGTGGTGGGGACGTAGGTGACTGTGGAGCTCCAATCCTTAACCTGCATGTTCTCCTGCAGTGAGGGCATTGGTTTCCAGGTGAAAGGCAGTCCCAGTCGGGGTTGGCTTGACACGCCTTCCTCTTGGCACGTTTCTCTCTTTCACCCTCTATTCATGCCTCTTCAAATTCCACAGCATTGCTGGTCACAGCTGACCTCCAGCTGGAGCGCTCAAGGTTTCCCAGTTCTCAGTGTCTATGCCAGAGTTTTTAAGGTTGGCTTTGAGCTCATCTTTAAATCTCTTTTTCTGCCCACCAACACTCCATTTTCCATTCTTGAGTTCGGAGTAGAGCAACTGCTTTAGGAGACGCATCTGGACAACGTGGCCGGTCCAGCGGAGTTGATGGCGGAGGACCATTGCTTCAATGTGGTGGTCTTTGCTTCTTCCAGCATGCTGACATTTGTCCGCTTGTCTTCCCAAGAGATTTGCAAGATTTTTCAGAGGCAACACTGATGGAATTGTTCTAGGACTTGTATGTGACGTCTGTAGATAGTCCACGTCTCACAGACGTATAGCAGGGTTGGGAGGACAATAGCTTTATAAAAAAAGCACCTTGGTCTCCCTATGGATGTCCCAGTTCTCAAACACTCTCTGCTTCATTCATGCTGCACTCACAGAGCTCAGGCAGTGTTGTATTTCAGTGTCAATGTTGACCTGAGGAGGCGGCTGCCAAGGTAGTGAAAATGGTCAACATGCAAATAACTTCATAGATACTGCACTATAACATAAATCTTTGTATAATGATAAATGCTTCTACTGTTCTTATTCACCTATGATTTCTTTAGAATGATTTGAGATTGATTGTTTTTTGTTTTCCCTACAGGGCTATTGGCTTCAAAATGGAATGATAGCAACGCAAGGGCCACTCCCAGAAACCATTGGTGACTTCTGGAACATGGTTTATCAAAGAAAAGTGAAAGTGATTGTCATGTTAACTGAGTTAAGAGACAATACTCAAGTAAGCTGCTCATAAATCTATACTTTTACAAAGACATATTAAAGTTCGGTTTCTCTCATTGACAAAACTGAACAATTCTACCAATTGCAAAAAGAATGAAATTTTGCCCTACTGTATTTAGTCTAGATATGTAAAAGATTGCTATAGTAAATCATAGAACAATATGTTGTTACGTTGCTGTTTTGAAGACTTTATTTATAGCACACATGGAAAATATAATTTACATTATGTCACACATGTTGAATGGCTGAATCCTCAATTATGATCTCAAAATAGTCAGTTCTCTATTGAGAATTGCTATGCATATATACTCTTCATATCACATCCTCATCTACAGTACATAGTGCTGTACTGCAACCACTTGTGTTGGTTGCATTTACTTCTCCAAACAACAATGGGATACTAAAGTTGATCCCTGTGAACTCTTAGTTTGGGGGTAGTTATGTTTTCCTACATTCCTATTGTAAAGAAACATAATATTACTGCCACCAATTTATATTGTAGCGAGGGAGATAGACTATTACTTTATTTAGGCAAAACCTCTTTACTCTTATAAGGATTCAGTTTCTCTCCTTATATTTGCTGGGACTTTCTGTGTGCTATTTAACCTTTGTACAGGCACTGAGACACACTTCTGTATAACGAAGTAACACAGTTTATTTATAACTTCAGGTTCCAAACGCTTGTGGTTACATTTTGTGTTTTGTTGCAATCTTGAGGCTTACAGTCAGTAAAAATATACTTGGTTTACTTTTCTGAAATAGACTTTCAATGTTTCACATTCACAAACATGTTACTTGCTTTACACACTCTTGACTGATATTATTTTCTGACTGAAGCACCACTGGCTTTCTTTATGTTCCTAAAACTTGATCTCTGTTTAACTAACTGTTTCTATATATATCAGAAATCCTTAACACATCTTCATAACTGCTTATTTCTAACAAGAGTTCCTAACTCTTTTCTCTCACAGAAGTTCCTAACTCTTTTACAAACAGGAATTCCTAACTAACCTCACAAGCAGCAATTCCTAACTCACTTCACAAACAGCTATTCCTCTAACTCTTTTGACTCTCTAACTGCCTATATTTAAACTTTGGCTCCGCCCCTTTGGAATGTTTAGCTCTGCTCTTCCCCCAGCTGCCATTTTGGCCTAGCCACCAGTTCAAATCCTGGGCCTACGCTAATCTGCATATGACCAATCAGCTTCCATATGCAAACGAATCCTATCTCTGCTGTTGCTACCCTGCCTGTGCCTATTCTTCCCTATCTGCCATATGTAGCTCTATCAACATAGAGCTCCACACCAAAAATTTAACATAGAGTAGCAATTTTGTTACACTATCTTCCTACATTCATTTTTTAAAAGTCATATTCACCTTCATTTTGCATTCCTTCTCTCTAGGAACTCTGTGAACAGTACTGGGGAAATGGACAAGAGACATATGGCAGCATCACAGTAGATCTGAAAGATGTTGATTCTTCTTCTAGTTACACCATTCGCACCTTTGATGTAACTCATATGAAGGTAAAAATAAGAATCCAATAACAGGACATATTTTGTTCCAGATCTACAACCCAAAGATCATAGTTATTCAGATCTTCTCTGTTGTATGGGCTGAAAACAGAAGCTGGAATACTATTGCCAAGAGTCCTTTCTTGTAATCCAACTATGTGCAGCAGAAGTAATACAACACCACAGTTTTATTGTTCTATCAATGGGTTTGTGGACTGAGTATTGTTTTTAATTTAATGACTGTTATGATAATTTGGTTATAATTAATTGCTATTGTTTTAACTCTGCATGTATTTATATGAGGGGTATTTTTAAAGTAAGGTCCATTTTGTTGTAGACACTAGTAGTTTGCGCGCATACCGCAACGAGCGCGTGCGTCATGTACCGGCATGCCTCGGGAACAACTGTGCTCGGTTTCCGCTCTGTAGCTAACCTGTACGGTTCTGTTCTGTGCTTTAAAAATGTTTAAGACTATCAACTCACCCGCCGCATGTGATACGGTTTTTGTCAGCAAGGAACCAGTACTGTTAGGCAGAATGAAGAAGCTGACCTGGGGAAAGACAGCAGTGGTGGGGTGTTGGAGACCAGAACTGTATGCGCCACCCACCTTGTTTTCTGTTCCCTTTGTTGATCTTCTGCCTTCAAAATAGATAACCCTCCACTCCATGAAGTTTGCCACATAGTGTATCTTGGTTAGTTTGTGTTCTTGGTATGTAAGCAGGAAATGTCCAGCTCAAACAGAAGGTTTCTTAAGATTACTCTCAAATCAAAAGTGACAATGTAACTTGACAGCTAAGACAGATATGGGAAACGTGATCTTCAAGATTTTTGTCAAACTACAAATTCCATCATCACTCTCCATTGGCTTTGCTAGCCACACAAACAATTATTTTCATTCTCTAAATCAGGTGACTGTTTAGCTCTGGACCCTTAATTCCTTAGATATTTTGGAGCATCATTTACACAAGCTTTCACCATTGGCTAAGCCAGTGGATTGTTGATCAAATTATCAGGTGTTGATCTAAATATCAGGAGCATCATAGATTTTCAACTCCTGCTCTAAATGGTTCTCAGCTATGTGATTCTCATTCTCCCAAAATTATTCTGCTGTCTTTGGATGAAGCTCAGTATCTATATTTTGTTTTCATATAGAGAAAAGAACCCCGAAAGGTATATCAGTATCAGTACCATAAGTGGAAGGCCTCTGGTCTCCCTGAAAGCCCCAAAGACTTGGTCACCATAATCCAGAATCTCAAGCAGAAGCTACCAACTCCAGATGAAGAATCTGAAGCACATGCGCATAGCAAGAATGCTCAAGTTGTTATCCATTGCCGGTAAGTGTAAGTTTGTGAGATAATATTTTCAAGTTATTTTTGGTTTGAGTATATTGCATGTTAAACACTCCTGCTCTTGGCTATGTTCATGTTCAGTCCATATTACTTTTATTACATGCATTGAATAGGATTACAACTTTCTGTGCTGCCCCACTTTTTAAAATATTTGACTGGTTTGGTGAGAAAGGAGTCTTTCAGGTTAGTGAAATTAAAATGGGACAGATAAACTGCTGTGAAAAAAAAACATGTCCTAGTGCTGAATTTTGCCTGTTGTGTGGATGTTCTTTTTATTGCCTGCTTCGTATTCTTTATTCAGTTGCGAAACTACAAGATGTGCTGTTTATGTTATTTAGATGCTATTATTTTACTCAAAAGTACCATTGCTAAAATGTTTTGCCATGTCTCAGGTTTCTATTTACCTCTGTACAATCATGGTTGAATGTTAAATGCAGTATTATGGTTTTGCTCAGCTTTCAGCCCATATTGGATCTCTGAAGTTGATTTTTTTTCATCTTAAACATTTATTTATTTACCTATTTCTTTAATGAGCCATATGTAGAGTGATCTTGTAGAACAGCACTTCTCAACCTTCCTAATGCCATGACCCCTTAATCCTCATGTTGTGGTGACCCCCTACCATAACATTATTTTTGTTGCTACTTCCTAACTGCAATTTTGCAACTGTTATGAATCGGAATGTAAATATCTGATATTCAGGATGCATTTTCATTTACTGGACCAAACTGGGCAGAAATACCCAATATATCTAAATTGGGTTGGGTGGGGGGATTAATTTTGTATTTTGGGAGTTGTAGTTGCTGGGAGCACTCTGGACACAAACTATGATGGATCTGGACAAAACTTGGAACAAATACTCAATATACCCAAATGTTAACAGTGGTGGAGTTTGAGGAAAATAGACATTGACATTTCAGAGTTGTAGTTGCTGGGATTTATAGTTCACCTATATTAAAAGAGCATTCTGTACTCCACCAACGATGGAGTTGAACCAAACTTGTCACACAGAACTCCCATGACCAGCAGAAAATACTGGAAGGGTTTGGTGGGCATTGACCTTGTGTTTTGGAGTTGTAGTTCACCTACATCCAGAGAGCACCCTGGACTCAAACAATGACAGATCTGGACCAAACTTGGCACAAATGCTCAATATGCACAAATGTGAACACTGGTGGAGTTTGGGGAACATTTGGGAGTTGTAGTTGCTGGGATTTATAGTTCACCTACAATCACAGAGCATTCTGGACCCCACCAACAATAGATTGAACCAAACTTTCCACACAGAACCCCCAAGAGCAACAAAAAATACTGTGTTTTCTGATTGTCTTTGGCGACTCCTCTGACACCCCCTCGCGACCCCCCCAGGGGTCCCGACCCCCAGGTTGAGAAACACTGTTGTAGACCTTAGAGAGACTACCTGAAAAAATGAAGTTGATAGCATAAGCTTTCAGAGTCTAAACCTATTTCCTTAGATGCAACATTGCTATTATAGTGGATTTCCTGTATTGTTATTATTTTCTAGTGATGGTTCCCAGCAAACAGGAGTATTTTGTGCCTTGATGAACCTCTTGGAAAGTGCCGAGACTGAAGGTGCAATTGATGTTTTCCAAGTTGTGAAAGCTCTTCGTAAAGCAAGGCCAGGAATGATACCTTCCTTTGTAAGTAAATTCGTGTTAGATATTATTGTTATTTGAATCCAGCTTTTCCTTGTAGATGGGGACTCAAGGTAGCTTACACATGAAAAAGATTAAAAATTACAAACATGCAATAGGTCAGCATTAAAACTAAATTACATTATTAACCATATTAAAAAACACTCCTTCTAAAAATGTTTTAATTGCACAATATGGTTTTAAACAATATACACAGCACTCGATTAAAAACCTTTAATTCGGAAAAACGGTCTGTATGAAAAAGTATTTTCCGCACAAAAACATCCCCAATCAAATGTTTCACACAAAAAGCCACAAAATGAAAAGAAAAAAAACCCAAGTGACCTCAGACCATTTTCTCATTGTTTTGTCAGTGAAGAGAAATCCTGTTTGTATTTCTCACATCCCTAATAGAAAAAAGTAATACCCTAAAGTCACCAAATACCCTAAAGTCACCAGGAGCCCCTGGTGGTGCAGTGGGTTAAACCCCTGTGCTGGCAGGACTGAAGACCGACATGTCGGAGGTTCAAATCCGGGGAGAGCGCAGATGAGCTCCCTCTATCAGCTCCAGCTCTCCATGTGGGGTCATGAGAGAAGCCTCCCACAAGGGTGGTAAAACATCAAAACATCCGGGCGTCCCCTGGGCAACATCCTCGCAGACGGCCAATTCTCTCACACCAGAAGTGACTTGTAGTTTCTCAAGTCACTCCTGACATGAAAACAAAACAAAACAAAAAAAGCAGATCCCATCTGGCCTTAGAAGCTAAGAAGGATCAACACTTATTAGTAGGTAAAGGTTGTCCCCTGACATTAAGTCCAGTCATGTCTGACTCTGGGGTGTGGTGCTCATCTCCATTTCTAAGCCGAAGAGCCGGCGTTGTCCATAGACACCTCCAAGGTCATGTGGCCGGCATGACTGCATGGAACACCGTTACCTTCCCGCCGGAGCGGTACCTATTGATCTACTCACATTTGCATGTTTTCGAACTGCTAGGTTGGCAGAAGCTAGGGCTGACAGCGGAAGCTCACGCCACTCCCTGGAATCGAACCTGCGACCTTTGTCAACAAGCTCAGCAGCTCAGCGCCACCAGGGGCCCACTTATTAGTACTTGAATGGAAATCTTCCAAGGAATATGAGGGCTGTAGGCAATATTTCCAAGGAAGGAACTGAGAAAATCACTTCTGGGTATTCTTTATCTAAGAAAATCCTATGAAATTCATAGGATTGCCATAAGTTAACAGTGAAACTTGAAGGCATACACACACAATGGGATGAGTAGAACTGAGCTAGTGATATGTGTTCGTAAACAGCTCTGACTTGTTTATTATTATTATTATTATTATTATTATTATTATTATTATTATTATTATTTCGAGCTTTTATAACCCAGTCTTCTTGACCTCCGAAGAGGGACTCAGGCCGGCTAACAGCATAGGATTAAAATACAATAAGATAAACCACAGTAAACATCATAATACAATAGTACAAAAATACATTAAAATACAATTATACAACTTACAAAAGGCCAGTTCGTCAGAATAAATCATAAATTCATCGCCATCCGCTCGTGTGGTCAGCAGTTATTGACTCAGTCATCATCCTGCAAATGCAGTATTCCAAAACCATGTTTTTACCAGCTTTCTAAAAGTGAGGAGGGAAGGGGCAGATCTAATCTCCATCGGAAGGGAATTCCAGAGCCGAGGGGCCACCACCGAGAAGGCTCTGTCCCCACCAATCGTGATTGCGAAAGAGGAGGGACGGAGAGCAGGGCCCCTCCAGAAGATCTTAATAACCTTGATGGTTCATAGGGGAGAATCCGTTCGGAAAGGTAAATTGGGCTGGAGTCATTTAGGGCTTTATAGGTCTACACCAGCACTTTGAATTGTGCTCGGAAACTGATTGGCAGCCAGTGGAGCTGACGCAACAGAGGAGTAGTATGCTCCCTGTACCCCGCTCCTGTTAGTAGTCTGGCTGCCGCTTGTTGGACTAGTTGTAGCTTCCGGACAGTCTTCAAAGGCAACCCCACGTAGAGAGCATTGCAATAGTCTATACGGGATGTAACCAGAGCGTGGACCACAGTGGCCAAATCAGTTTATTTATTTATTTATTTATTTATTTATTTATTTTATTTATTACAGTATTTATATACCGCTTTTCTCACCCCTAGGGGGACTCAAAGCGGTTTACACATAGATAATGGCAAAATTCAATGCCTTACAACTACAATAGAAACAACCACACATTAGACATAAATCATGTGAAAACAGTACATCACCAAGCATCAAAAACAATCATTAAAACCGTAAAACAATCTCATCAGTCGAGTCAAAGGACATCTAATCAACTACCAAACTCACAAATTTTGTATTCTGTATTTTGTATTTTTGTATTTTGTCTGTTTGTTTGCTTTGTTCTGTTAGAAATGTAATATAATTGACTGGTTGCTGATGACTCGATAAATAAATCAGTCGAGTCACTGTTCCAGTCCTTGTCACTCTAAATAGCTGCATACTAGGCCTGTGCAGTTTCGTTCGTTAATTCGTTAATTTGTTATTAATTCGTTATTTTTGGCATTTCCGAAGCGATATTGAAACATATTTCCAAACCCGGAAGGGTTTTTAAATATCGAACCAGCAACCCCCAGAGTTTTAACGAGCCTCCGCTCGTTTCGTTAATGGTGTGGAGGCTGCTGGAGTGCTGGTGCCTGGGAGCCAATCCGGCGCTCCCAAGCAGTGCACCATGGGTCCGTGGCTGTCTGTTTTTGATTGGCCGGCGAGCCCTTTCAAAGCGGCTCCGCGCGGCCCGTAGCTTGCTGCAGAGGGCGAGGGAGTTTGCATTGGGTTGGCTTGGCAATGGCTGCTAGCAACTCGGATTGGATTCATTCCTTGCTGCTGTGAGTGCTGCTTGCTTCATTTGCTGTCTCTTGCCTGTGTTTGGTCCACATTTGGGCCATTTTTTGGTTAATTTTCCATTTTAAAATATTTTAATATTATTTTAATATTATTTTTTAATATTATTTTAATATTATTTTAAAAAATATTCTAAAAAAGAAAAGACTCTTCTGTTGGTGTGTGCTCTCATTTGCTGTATCCTGCCTGTGTTTGGTCCACATTTGGGCCATTTTTTGGTTAATTTTCCATTTTAAATATTTTTAATATTATTTTAATATTATTTTTTAATATTATTTTAATATTATTCTTAAAAAATATTCTAAAAAAGAAAAGACTCTTCTGTTGGTGTGTGCTCTCATTTGCTGTATCCTGCCTGTGTTTGGTCCACATTTGGGCCATTTTTTGGTTAATTTTCCATTTTAAAATATTTTTTAATATTATTTTAATATTATTCTTAAAAATACCAAAAATATTCTAAAAATTCGTTAATATTTACAAAATTTCGTAAATACCAAAACTTTTTTGGGGGAAAGTTCTGTAATTATTTTAAATATCGAAACAAAAAAAACACCCCAATTACAAATCGATTTTAGAAACAAATTTTTTCTTGATCAAACAGGCCTACTGCATACATCTATTGTCTGACGGCCTGGTCCCACAACCATGATTTTAATTTTTTTCTAAAGGTCAGGAGAGAAGGAGTAGATCTTACCTCCTTTGGGAGTGTGTTCCATAGGTAGGGGGCCACAGCTGAGAAGGCCCTGCTCATCGTCCCTGCCAGCTGCATTTCTGCTATTGACAGGAGCAAGAGCAGGGCCTCCCCGGGTGATTTTAAATTGTGAGGTGGGACATAGGGGCAGATGCGTTCAGACAAATAAGCTGGGACAGAATTGTATAGAGCTTTATAGGCTATAACCAGCACTTTGAATTGGGCTCGGAGATGGACTGGCAGCCAGTGGAGCTGGCATAACAGGGGGGTGATATGCTCCCACGGTTAGTAATCTGGCTGCCGGCCGTTGAACTAACTGAAGTTTCCAAACGGTCTTCAAAGGCAGCCCCACGTAGAGTGTGTTGCAGTAATCTATTCGGGATGTAACCAGAGCGTGGACTATCTTTTTTTGGTGTGTAAAATTGGGGGGGGGGGGACACAGGAGGCTTTTAAGGTATATACTAATTATTTCTTTCTTTCTTTCCTTCCTTCCTTCTTCTTCTTAAAAAAAAATCCTATTTAGGAAGATTATCAGTTTCTCTATGATGCTATTGCTAGCATCTGTCCAGCCCAGAATGGACAAGCGCAAAAGACCCAGTGCCAGGAACACAAGATTGATATTCACAACGATGTCAAGAAAGAAGACGAGGCTAATTCTGTTGCGATTGATATCTGCCTCCCAGTTCAAGAAAGTGGGGATGGTTCGGAAATGAAGGATGCTTCCAAAGCCAAGGATGGCTCTAGGGAAGGAGAAAGTTCTTCGAATGGACCCACAACTCATGCTTTAACTGAAGTAGCCTAGAACCCTGCCAGCTAAAGATATCTGTACACTGTGAATTTTGTGTCAGTACGTGTGTAGGTTTGCCATTTTAATTGTTCAGTATAATTTGTACTCTGTAATGTAAAGAGCTGGGTTCTTTCTTTTAAAGGGGGCTTTTTGTTATATTTTACATTTTTTTAACAAGAAAGGAAACAACGAATCTGTTGATTAGATGCATATGCAATCATAAACATGAATTTTCAATTAAATATCCAAAACACAACACAAATACAGGGAGTCCCCATGTTATGA